GCTTCTCCCTCTGCCTGTGTCTCTGCCTTTCTCCGTGTGTATCTCATGAATAAACAAATAAAATCTTTAAAAAAAAAAAAAAAACAGCAGCTGAGGGGCTCAGTCAGTTGGGCATGTGCCTTCGGCTAAGGTCATGATCCCAGGGTGCTGGGATCGAGTCCCACGTTGGGCTTCCTGCTCAAGTAGGGAGCCTGCTGCTGCTTCTCCCTCTGCCACACATGTTGTCTCTCCCTCTGCTGTCTCTGTCTCTCTCTCAAATAAATAAATTAAATTAAAAAATAAAAACACAGCAGCTGGCACGAGGTGGGAGCTCAGGAAATGTCTGTGGGTAGGATGGATGGAAGGACAGAATGGAGGGACAGACCCTCCTCTAAATCCCAGGCCCTGAGCTAGCTAGGTGGACTTGTGATTGGCACTGTGTTTAGAAAAGAAAAAAGAAAAAATCCCACCACCTGAAACTAATGTAACACTGTGTGTCGACTATACTTCCAATAAATGAAGGGAGGGAGGAAGAAAGGAAAGGAGAGGAGAGGAAATCCCAGAAAAGTCCACCTGCAGGCATCCAGTATTACAACAGCAGCAAGTATCTAGGGGACCCTGGGGAGAAAGCAGGAATCTAAAGCCAGCACACCACTACCCACCCCACCTCCCTGACGGCGGTGTGACCACGAACAGGTCGCCTAGCCTTTCTGAGCCCCACACTGTTCCTCAGCACAACACGCTCCTCCCGCCGACCCAGGCGGCTCTCGCACGTGCCCAGACCTGCACACAATCCACACTGGGTTCCGGATGGCCTGATGTCAGGGGAAGGGCCTTGGAAACCGCAGGAGTCGTGCAAGCGAATGATGTTTGTCATGATTGATGGTCAGGAGGGGTGGCCTGTGGTGCTGGACGACCAAGTCAAAATCCCAGTTCCCCCTTTGCATAGCTCTGTGGCCTGAGGCCTCCGTTCCTGTCTGTAACATTGGGATAATCACAGCATCTCTCTTGCTGTGTTGTCATGAAGAATAAATGAGTTTATTTTTGCAAAGCTTTCAGAACAATGTTTGGCAGCTAGAAAGTTCCATACAAGGGGTAACTTCTCACTAGCACTCTGGCTGCAATTATGGGTGAATCCAGCCTGGCGTTCCCCTTGTCCCATTCACCTCTTTCCTCTTGCCCCTACACACTCCTCGACTCCCCCGACCTCCAGTTCATTCCAAGGACATTTAGAGCACCTGCCTAGGGGCTGGTCTGGTGAGGAGATGCACACCCATCTGTCTCCAGCCTGAGCTCCTGGGTGCCAGGCTGTGTGTGCAAGAGGGCTCTCCATCCGGCCGACCTCGGCGGCCACTCCACTTGGCTATCACGCTCGGGAAATTCCTTTTGACTCTTATTTTTCAGAAGTTGAGAAGAGCTGCTTCAGCAATTTCCAAGGATCAGGAGTGTCCATGGCAAACAAACCCTCTCCCCTCTTCATCCTGCCCCCACCGGGGGACCCCACAGGAGGGACATGACCCTAGGACCCTTTTACCCAAGGCCTTGGGCAACATCTGTTGAGTAAGATGAAAACATGGGTTGAAGATTAAGCCACTTTGCCCTGGCTGGCCTGGCACGGGCTGGAAACCGTGTCTGGGAGGCCCACGCTGGGCAGAAATCCTGAGCCTGGGACAAGGGCGCCCCATGCCAGGGAGGGTAGGATCTAAGCAAGATGGGTGGGAAGGCCAGAGGGAGAGCTGGGGCCCCCCAAAGACACGGAGAAAACACAACAGACACACACACACACACACACACACACACACACACACACACGGTGTGAAGCGCAAGGGAAGGGGGCAGGGAGACCAGAGACCAGCTCTGCGGAGGCTGAAGGGGAGGCAGCAAATGGAAAAGGAAGGAAAAATACAACCCGCCCTTTCCTCCCTCTTGTGAACCTGCTCAAAGCAGTTGCCTCGCCCGCCTTGAGGAAACAGGTGCCGGGTGCTCTCTGGGGGAAGCCCAACTTTCTCCTGGATTCCCCTGGGCCACTTTCCCACTCCTGGGGGACAGCAGCAGAGCTTCCAGGGGGAGCTCAGCCCCTGCTAAGAGCCCCCCACCCCCGAGCAAGCCCGGCAGCAGGAGCCACAGCAGTCCTGCTTGCTGAACACCCTGCTTGCTGAACCCCAGTGTGCCAGCCGCTCGCCGAGCGCGCTGAGCACCTACTACGTGCCGGGTGGGGGGATGCAGCAGTGATCACAACAGACCAAAGTCCTCTGCGGACACAGGCTTCATGCTGGGACGAGGGGAGCCCGGTGAGCGAGATGCACAGCATCCCAGACGCTGACCGTGGATGGACGGATGGACGGACAGAGAGAGCAAGGCGGGGAGGCAGGGTCACTGCGGGGAGGGATATCTCACGCCCAGGAGGGAAGGAGCCTCCCAGGGACCTGAAGGAAGACCCTTTCGGCTAGAAGGAGCAGGAAGCGCCACCGTCCTGACGCTGCCTGCTACGTTCAAGGACAAGAAGCCCAGGCATCTGAAGCAGAGAGTGAAGGAGAGAGCTTCTAGAAGGAGATGAGGTCAGAGAGGAAGCCCGTCACGTGGGGTTGCACAGGTCAAAGCAAGAACCTGGACTTTTACACCAAATCAGGAGGGCAGCCCCTGGAGGGGCCCCAATACAGATTAATTAAATACATCCTCGGGTGGCTCAGCCGGCTAAGCGTCTGCCTTGGGCTCAGGTCAGGATCCCGGGGCCCTGGGATCGAGCCTCCAGTAGGACTCCAGTAGGGCTCCCTGCTCCCGGGGAGTCTGCTTCTCCCTCTGCCCCTCTCCACCTCCCTCCTTGTGCTCTTGCATGCACCTGCACTCTCTCTCTTAAATAAATAAAAATTAAAAAAAAAAATACATTCATTTGCTCCCTAACAACCTTCCAGGGTAGCTGCTGTTACCAGCTCCCAATCTGCAGAGGGGAAACTGAGGTCCAGAGAAGTCAAATCATGTGTCCCAAGGTCACACAGCTGAGGCTGGGGAGCCAGGGTCCAAAGGGAGGGAGTCTAATGCCCTCGCCCTTGGATGCAGTGCATGGGGCTGGGGGGGGGGGGTGGCGTTGTTCTGATTCAGGTGGGGGGAACCTCCGGGAGCACTATCTCCCACAATATCCACCACCAGGTGGCTGACCCAGACTCCAGGAAGGTCAGAGCCCCCTGCTCAGGTGGGGCCCGTCACAGGGTCCCAGGGTCCCAGGGACGGGACAACTCCACTGCCTCACTCAGGTAGGAGCTCCTTCTGTATCCTGTCTGTATCTGCAGTCCTTCCAGCTGGAATGCCAACCTTTTCCCTTTTGTCCCAACCCCTGACCCCTCCTCACATAAACAAAGCTCACAAGACTCCAAGTGGCCAGGAATCTGCCTCGCCTGGAGATCCCTAAACCCCAGACCCCCCAGCTATCTCAGACCAGCCAAGGACATTCTGTTCTCAGAGGGGAGGGGGCAGTTGGGTTGCAATGATGAGACTCATGCTCCCCACTTCCCCCATCGTCTCCCCGCCTGCCCGCCACAGTGACCCTCCCCAGTCCTAGAGCAACTTCTTAGCTAGCTGCAAACCAGGCCCGCACTCTGGCCTCACCACATGCCCCACCCAACCCGGCTGTCACCGGATGACCTGGTGCGACTGGGCCCTGTGCAAATAACACTCCACAGCTGGGCAGAGCTGAGACCCAGAAGGGTGTGAGCCCAGTGGGACCCAGGAGGAAGACCTTCCTCTGCAAGGAAGAGAAATGCCTCGGTAGGGCCTGGGCCTGGGAGGACACCGCCGTGGGCCCGAGGTGGCTGAGTCACGAGCACTTTTACAAACTTTATTTCATTCTGGCAGTGACCTTCAATGGAGGGGACACTGCCCACCACTGAGAAGGCCTTGGGAGCACCTAGAGCAACTCCTCCCTTTGACAGGAAGGGAGCCGGGGTCCAGAAGGAGGGCAGGACTTGTCCATCATCACCGGGCAAATGGATGTTGGAGGGAAAGAAGAAACCAGGTGGCGTGACTGAGACTCCAGGATCCAGGCTGAGCGAGTGTGCAGACCCCTGAACCTGTCTGGATCCCCGGACACCCCTACCCCCTCCCCCAGACTCCCACCCATGCCAGTGTCACTGGAGGCTCCTCTGTATCAGCAGATGGATTGTGACACCCCCCACCCAACACATACGCAAACACACACACATGCACCTGCCCTCATGCAGACCCCTCCCCTCCAGCTTCCGGGGCCCGGCTGGGAGGGGGAAGAGAGGGGCCTTCAGAGGGTGAGAAGACCCCAGAGAGGGCCAGGAGGGAGGAAAGGTTCCCAGGGTTCCAAATCAGGCCAGCTGGGATCAGTCTGGAACAGGCCCCTCTCCACAGCCCACAGCTCATAGGAGTCCTGCCCCTCTCCACACTTTTCTAGAAGCCTGATGGGAGAGGCAGGGGTGGGAGACATGGAAACAGATCAGAAAGGCAGAGTCAGCCAAGGAGCTGGGAAGTGAAAGGAGCTGGGAGGTGGAAGGAGGTGGAAGGTGGAAGGTGGAAGGAGGTGGAAGGTGGAAGGAGGTGGGAGGTGGAAGGCACCACCCAGACAGGAGCCACTGCCCAGGCAGTCGAGCTCTGTGGGTCAGGCCATCCATTCCCCTTCCTCCGGCCGAAGGTACCTGACCTGGGACTAGGCAGGTAGAAGAAGCCATCCTCGGGTTCTGGAAGCCACAGAACAACAGGCCCCTGGCCAGGCCTAGAGGCACACGAGATGCCCTTTTATGGGTTTTTCCAAGGACTTAAGCCTCAAATTGAAATAGGAGGCCCTGCATCTCATCAGAAGGGACCTCATGACTCATTTCCTCCCGGTCCAGCTTCACTTCTTGGGAAGTGTCCCCTCCTCCTCCTCCTCCTTACCTACTTGCCCGGCACCCTTTGGGGCTAGCAGTATGCTTCGATCCAACGGTTTAATGTAAGCCCTTAACAAAGGAGCAGAAGAAAGAGGAGGGAGGGCCCAGCAGGGTAGGGAAGGGACTGTCACTCACCACCAGTTCATGGCTGGACGGAGGAATGCAGGGGGCAGCCACCTGTGGGAGGAACAGAGAAAGGGCAAGGTTAGCATCCTTCATCCCCATAGAAAACCAGGGCCTCCTGAGATCATTCCACGGCCCCCTCCATGCTAGACACCCCTTCCCTCAGCTCAGCTCACCGACCACCTCCAGCTTGAGAGGTCACTGGAAGACTCTGCAGCCTCGTGGAGGATCCCTCAGCCAATAACACTTGGCAGAGGGCGAGCGGCAAAGGCAGAAATGAAATATATATCACAATTTTTTAAAAGAATTTATTTAGTTAGTTATTTTAGAGAGAGAGAGATAGAGCATATGCTCACGGGAACAGGAGAGGGAGAGAGTGAATCTCAAGCAGACTCTGTGCAGAGCACAGAGCCCGAGGCGAAGCTCAGTCTCACGACCCTGAGATCATGACCTGAGCCGCAACCAAGAGTTGGAAGCTTAACTGACTGAGCCACCCAGGCACCCCGTATATCCCAATTTTTAAATTCTGCGCGGAAGGCTACAGGTCAGTGCCCCAGGATTTTTTTTTTTAAGACTTACTTACTTACTTACTTATTTATTTATTTATTTATTCATTCATTCATTCATGAGAGACACACAGAGAGAGAGAGAGAGAGGCAGAGACACAGGCAGAGGGAGAAGCAGGCTCCCTGCGGGGAGCCCGATGTGGGATTCGATCCCGGGGCCCCAGGACCACACCCTGAACTGAAGGCAGATGTTCAACCGCTGAGCCACCCAGGTGTCCCAGTGCCCCAGGATTTTTAATAACAGTGGGTTAAGGTAACAAGAATAAGGATTTTGTTTTCTTGGCTCTATGTTCTAAATGTTCTACGATATACTAAGATTTGTTTTAAAGTTTTTAAAAACATGTTTAAGGCCTCTAAGAAAGGGGGTTCTCCCCAGGGCCAGGGCATGTCACCCAAAGCTGCAGACAGAGTCTGGGGTCCCCACAGCACGTGGGAAGCAGGTTGGTGGAAGGCTCCTGCCAGTTCCTCCAGAGAAAGCCTCGAGGGGTGAAAGCACCCTCTGTGGGTGAGCGGTTCTTCCTACCATCGCACTCACCGTCCTCTCTGATGGAGGGTGGGGGCTGGCAACTCGGGCCTCCAGACGAGGGCGGGTGGAGGGAGGGCTGCATTTCTGAACCCTCCCCTGAGATAACACCCCCCATCCAGGCCAGGCAGCCAAACCACTACCCTGACAATTAGCAGGGCCCTTTATCAGAGACTCAGTGTGCTCTTTTTTTCTAGTCAGGACACGTTTTTCTTGGAGCTCATACCTCAATCTTGGCTCTGATTCCCGACCCAAGGGGCCCACAGAAGGGACTAGGGAAGGCTCTCCCCCAGGCGTGTGGGGTGTCTGGGCACAAGCCCTGGATCGCTGAAGAGGAGGCTGCTGCCTCCTGGAGCAGTGGGGCAACCCCTGCTCCAGCCACCGCCCCGGTGGAGCAGTGACGGTGACAACCTACAGGCTCGGATGGAGCTGGCTGTTCACAAGAAGCCACCCTCAGCCGGGCCCTCCCCATGCCTGAGCCAGTCCTGTCCTCCCACCAGCCCAGGGGATCCCCAAGCTTGACACACCAGCCCAGAAGGGCCCAGGGCTCATATGATGCTGTGCCCTGAGCTCTGGAATGGGTGGAGAAGCCGGGGGCTTTAGCATCCCTGGGTTCTCGACCCAGGCCTGCTACGGGCTTCCTGCCCACCTCATTCTCCAGCAAAGAAGCCTGAGCTGAGTCTCAGCACCTATCGCCCTGTACTCACCATTACTCTGAGACCCCTTGGTGCGGTTGAGAGACTCATATATGAGGCCAAAAGAAAGGAACAACGGCTAACGCGGATTAAATACGGACCACAGGAAGGACAGGCGTCGTTATCGATGCTCGACCCATACTACCTCATTCAATCCTCCCAACAGCCCTATAAGGTAGGGACTATTACATCTTCAGTTGAGGTGAGGGGCCCAGAGCGGTCAAACAACTTGCCCGAGGTCACACCACTCATACGTGGTGAAGATTTGAACCCAGGCATTCTGGTTCCCAAAATGAAATGTGAAAGGGAACGAGGAGACACAGGGGCAAATGCTCCCCTAAGTTCAGGATTCTTGATAAACGTAAGCATGAAGCGGTGAGTGACTGGTTTAGAAGTTTCTGGGGGAGACGGAGCCCGGGGTGTGGTGGAGAATGCCAGGAAAACAGACCGGGAAGGCCGGGAAGGTCCCAGGGGTGGCTGTGGCCTGCAGGGCTCCCTGCCTGCCCTGCCCACCAGACAAGGTCTCAGCCGTGGGGGACACAGCCACCCCCAACAGGCACCCTTGGGCCAGGAGTCCTGCATCTAGCAGTGGCCCCCTCCCCGTCCCCTCCTGCCCCTAACCCCATTCAGGGGCTGTAGGTTTCAACCCCATGGGGCCAGGCCCCCAGTGCCACCTCTCCCACCACTGTGTTTGGGTCCCTCGGGCCCTGGGTGGGAGTGAGCACCACCCACAGGGCAGCACCCTGCTCTGCTCCCTCCTTCGGAGCTGGAACTGGAGCTGGGGCGAGCGCAGGGGACCTGGACGCAGGACCACTCTGCAGGGGGAGGCCACAGCCTCCAGTCCCATCCACAGCCACATCTCCCAGGCCGTTACACAAGGGGGTTTCTAGTCTCCATTCGGGGTCTGGGGACTGAGGGAGGGAGGGACAGGTTATGGATACACCTGAAGCAGCAGCAGGATGGACAGTGTCCTCTGAAACAGTGGAAGGGCCTCTCTCCCAGAGCCACCCTAAGGCAGTGGAAAGAATGGGGAGCCAGGCATCCCGACCCCAAGTCTCTTCCCTGCTCCCCTGAGGCAGCGCCACCCCTAAGGACTGAGCTCTGTGGACCTGCAGCCCGAGGGCCCGAGGCCTGGGTGCCCCTCGTGGCCTGCTGCCCCCCAGCAGCTCCTCCGCCCGCCGCCCACAGCTGTGCATTCCAGGCCAGCCGGCCCGCCAGCCCACTAACTTTGTTGTGTGTTTCAATGTTTCTTGTCTCTCTTTTTTTTTTTGTAAGCAGAGAAATGTTTCCTTAAAAGGCTCTCTCCTTCCCTCCGGCACCCTGGCCCCTGGCCACCCTCTCAGGAGCCTGGAATGTGCCAGGGAGAGCCAGGGCCCCCTGCCACTCTGTGGCCCAGGCCCTACGGCCCCACACTCCTGGTGTCAACAGTGACCCCTCCCACTGCCCCTCAGGGACCCAAGCTAGGAACCCTCTCCCTGCACAGGGGGCAGGCTCGGGGGTGTCCTCAGGGCCTCTGGGTCCCGGCCCTGCCATACACTGGCTTCCCCGGCACTGGCCGTGCAGGACTCTGGGGCTCGGGCCCAGGAGGTCAGCCTCAGGGAAGCCCCCGCCCTGGTGTACCTCCAGAAACCCGTCTGCACACTGGGGGCTGAGCAGGCCTGATGGCCAGTCTCTCCGCTCTGAAAAACGTGACAGCAAAAGTAGCAGCAGCGGCAGACACTCCCGTCTCACTTGTTAGATGTCAGGCACTACTCTCCACGCTCTGCCTAAATTCACTCACTGAATTCCCACAACAGCCCTCAACACCCCAGTTTTACGGACGAGGAGGCTGAGGTGCAGGGACGTCGACAAGTGATGCAACAGAGAGGACGGGACACGAAGCCAGCAGCGTGGCTCCGGACGGAGATGTGCTCCTGCCCCCTCCGCTAGGCTGATGCTCGGGCAATCACTAATTTCCATATAGCTAGAGCCAACAAGGCCACAAGAAGCTCCCGGAATGCGGCTTTCTGTCTGCTGCTGCCCTAAGCTCGAGGAATGTGTGGGCTAGAGACTTAGTGTCCCCATTTCCCAGATGAAGAAGGTAAGGCACAGAAAGGGTGACGACTTGCCTAAGGCCACTGCAGAGGAGCAGTCTGACTCTGGCGCCCGCAAAGTAGAGATCTGGGGGCACGGGGAGGGGAGTTAGCAGGCCCAGACCAGGGCCAATGCCCCGCACTCTTCATCCCTCACCCACCGATAGCTTCTGAATTTCAAAGGTCCCTGGGCTCAACGCCAACAACAGGGCACCCCCTTGGAGACTCCCGCAGGTCCCGAGGGTGGAATGCACCAGACAGCAGCCAGCCAGGCAAGGGCTCCCTGCATGACTGGGCCCCTGCCCTCCTCTCCACCATCCGTGTCGTCTGCCCCCCCTTGTCCAGGACCTCAGGCCACACATCAAGGGTGGGCTCCTCCCTGGCCCCCGAACACACCTCGCTCTGCTCCTCCTCAGGGCCTCTGCATATGCTGTTCCTTGTGCCTGGGACATGCTCAGCCCACTGACTGCATAGCTGGGTCCTTCCCAGCCTTCTAGCTTTGGCTTAAATGCCACCACCCCCAGAGAGGCCCTTCCTGACACCCCTAGGTCACGGTCGCACACACACACACACACACACACACACACACAGTTTCTCTTGCACTCTTATCTCTTCCTTCACAGATCTAATTACAATTTATAATTAAACAGGTGTCTGTTTTCTTGTCTATAATCCGTTTCCCCTGCTAGAAAACAAGTGCCCTGGGGACAAAAAATACGTATTGTTCATCACACTGGTCCCGGCATACAGTAGCTGCTCACTAAATACTTGTGGAAAGATGAAGGACATTCAAGGCCTCAGCCACAGAGGCACCTGCAACCACGAGAGGTAAAAATCACCGCCCATCGCTAAGCATCTCCTATGCGCCAGGTGCCAGGGCCACTCCTGCCATAGGCCTGGCTCTCTGAGCCCTTCTGATCCTGTACTGTCAGCGATATTGCTCCCATGTCACAGACGAAAAAAAAAGGAGGCTCGAAGAGATCGTGACGCTTGTCCCAGGTCAATCGGCCAGGAAGGGCAGGCTGCAGGTGAAATTTTGGTCTGCAGGTTCCAGGCACTGCTGTTTGCAGAGCAAGAGAAAACCCAGGCACCCACCTGGCCCCTATCACCTCCCCAGCATGCAGGTGGTGGGACCGAGTCCCCAACTGAGTGACATTCCCATCCTCAGGGCCTCAAGTTGTCAGCCTTGGTTACATGA